CTGCTTCCTGGAAATCGTGAGCTCAGGGTCACCTGAAAAGAATCTACTGCAGATATTTTGCTAGACCAGTGTAATTCTTTACTACATTCTAAGTCTTAGCCACAGGTAAGTGTAGCTATCAGCCCTCATCAAAGAAGCCCATCTATACTAAATGGAGATCATCACAGAAATCAGTGGATCATGGGCAGAGATCAGTGGATCATGGGAGATACACAGCTATCAGAGCCACTGTTTCTGTGGCTTGGGGAACATTGCAGAAGAGAGGCAAACAGCTAGAATACCAGGAATTCTGCTGTGAAACAGTCTCTCCTAGAAATGGCTGTGTAAACAAGCCTGGAAAAATGATGATATCAATGTACATATCAAAGTGTACATTCCCAATACTAGATGAAGAACTACAGCAACTGATGACTGCTGGGAGAATTAGCCTCTCCTAGAGATGAGCCCTCTTACAGGTTGTCCAATGCATAATGGTCATCCCTGAAACCACACACACACAAACAACAAAAACACATGTGTATACCCGTGTGCATACATATGTAGCAATAATCAAAGAAAAGAGGCGCTATCAATCTGATAGTGAAAAGGACATGGAAGGGGCTGAAGGGACGGCATCTGGCAAGGGCTGGAGAAAGGAAAGGAGACCTAGGAGTCCCTACAGGTGTGCCTGGCCACGTCCATGAGAGCGTGGGCAGGGGATGTCAAAGATGATGGGGGGGGGAGAGGAGGAGGCCCGGGGGGTGGGAGGGAATTCTTAAGGGGCCACAGACACGTGGAGAGCCCCTTGGCTCTAGCCTCGCTAGCTTGCTGCCTCTGGGCACGCTCTGGCTTGCGTTTGGCTGGTGTTTATCTGAATAAAGATATCCTAACCTTACGGACTATAGATCGTCTTCACGCATGCAATACAATTCTATTTCAATTAAAAACATAATTTTTTAAGAAATGAGAATGAAGTCGTATGTGGTGGCACAAGACTTTAATCCCAGCACTCAGGAGGCAGAGGCAAGTGGATCTCTGTGAGTTTGAGGTCAGCCTGGTCTACAGAGCTAGTTTAGGATAGCCAAGGGTACAGAGAAACCTTGTCTTAAAAAACCAAAAATATCAAAATAAAACCCACCACCATCACCACCAAGAAAGAGAGAATGAGGAGGGAGTACAGTAATTTGAGAGGAGGCTGACGTATTTGCTCACACCAAAGCACTGCAATGAAGAACCCCTGCTCCTCTAATGCAGCAGGCCCAAGGGCATGTGGTCCCACCTGGAAAGGCCTAAGGCCCCAAGGATCTCAGAAATTCTCTAATTCCACTCTGCTCCAATATCCTGACCCACACTTGTGATTCTATCATGTCCATTATCTTCACTGTGCTTCTTTTACACATTTTTTAAAACTTGTTCACTCTTCTCCAACTTGACTAGCTAGGCCAGGGGGCAGATCCCGTGACTGGTTTTGCTCACTAGCTTAACTTCACTTACGTATTTCTCACTTGACTGACTAATGGGACAGAAGTCTTCTAAGTTCCCACAGCAAGAATAAGTGTCTACTCATTTTTTACTAATGTATTATTCCACTGTAGTTTTGTGCAGACATTTTAATAAGACACATCAAAAATTACAACAAAGTGTCAGTGTCACTTAATCTTTCAATTCCCACCTTTCCCACTTGGCTGCTTTCCTCAATTTTATAGCCACTCCAAATCATTGTACTACTGTATCATTACAGTAGTACAGGTGAAAAACCTGGGCAGAAGATACCAACCCAGAACATGACCATCCATCAAAAGACCTCAGGAAAGTCTAGTGATGCTGCTTTATGGTACTATTTATGCTATCAACACAAATAAGGGAATGCTTTGCAAATGAGATTATTTCCCTTAAAGGTTCAATATAAAAATATAGAGGACACAGAAATCCAAAAGTCCAAGTATTAATAAGCCCCATGTTATGTGCTATAGAATCCTCAGATTTCAGGCACCAGGCTGAATTCCCAACTCTACTGTTTTATGTTCAGTGTTCTCTGTGGATGACAAAGTCCACATTTGGAGTAACATTATATTCTAATCAAAATTCTACCACTTCAACTCTCAGTAAAGGGGCCAGGCCATTGCCAAAGGACTGTTTACACTAGAATGATTTGTATAGTTTGTTATTTACCTCTTTAAACTTTCAACAAGCTATTGCCAAGGCTATTGGCTGCTCTCCACAAACTGATAGTAAGGGCCTATTGCTGAAGACAACACTTAGCTATCTCAGTGAACACAGAGAAGCTGAGCCTAGGGGAAAACCAAATAATCTTGTTCTGCTAAGGAAGATAGCAATGAAATGACTCCAAATGACATTCTGTTATATCAATAGATCAGTGCCTCAATCAGCCATCAACAGAAAAGCTTCTTGCGGTAGATGGGAACTAACAGAGACCCACAACTAGACAATATGCATAGGGTAAGGGACTTTGGAATACTCACTCCTAAAAGGGATGTCTTTATCGATCTCTCCCCTCAGGGTTCAGGGACCTAAGCAAAAAGATTGTAAAAACTGTCCCCAGACACAACAGGACTGATATATATATATGAACTCACAGAGACTAAAGAAGCAAGCACATGGCCTGAATAGGTGCAAGCCAGGTGGGTCCTCTCTGAAATGGGGAAGTGGGCACAAGCTCCCACCCCTAACCAAGAAGCTATCTGCAATAGGTACCCAACAGCAAAGGAAACACCGGTCTTCTCCAATGGAGTCTCACTGAGTATATTACCCACACTTCAGAGTAGGTTCCATGCCCAAGAGTAACAGCAGATGGTCAACACAAAACAAACTCAATGGTAATTTTGCAGGCTTTTTGTCTCATAGTGCTTTGTTTGGGCACTTCTTGTCTTATTGGTCTCTTACTTCTATATTTTGTTTTCTGATTTTATGTTTTTGTGGGTAATCGTGCTCACACACACCCACATAGGTGAGTTTCTTGGGGTTTTGTTATTTATTCTTTAAAAAGAGAACTAAAGGGCATGGTGTTGGGTGGGTAGGCAGGTGAGAAGAGGAGTCTGAGGAGGGGAAAGTGTAATCAGACTACAGTGTATAAAAAAATTTAAACAAAAAAGGCAAAAAAAAAAATCTCAGTTACTCTTTCTATGGAAAATAATCCTTCTCTATAGAGTGTTCTAACAATGTTAAATAAATGGTAAAGTGCTATTTCAAGTGACTAAATAAAATTTCAGGGTTCATCAGAAACTAGTTATGTATTCTTCCACAATCTTTTGGTTTTCTTCAAAACAGAGATACTAATTTGGGATTTTATTTCAAAATTTGTTTCAGGACATAAAATTTGTAGTAGATAGAAACTGGGAGATTTGTGCTTTTATCTTATCTCTCGTTGTTGGCCATTTTTGCTGGGGAGATCCAAATATAAAAACAATGCACAAACGTTAGGGTCGGCAAAACAAAACAGACTGTGAACCATTTATAGGTATGTGCAGGTACAATAGCAAACAAAATATGCTTGATTGTCCACTCTAGTGTGTGGCTCTTCTTCATGGCTTCATGGCTCTTCTCCCAAAGCATCCGAAGTCCAATCACTCTTCACTACCTCTATCCCAAATCTTTCTTTCTTTCTTTGAAGCCTATGTCTTATAGGTGGTGTGTGCGTGCGTGTGCGTGTGCACAGCCCTAACTGATCCAATGTTTCTTGAACCTGCCAAGTACATTCTCTGGAAAGTTCTTTCCATATCCCTACAGAGCTCAATCCCCTAAAGTTTCTGTTAAGATGGCATAGAGAAGCTGACATGATGTCATATAAAATAACCCCATCCTTATCTACAATGGTTCCTTTTCATGCCAATCATCACCAATATGGAACACATTTATTATATGCTCCCTTTCCTAGAATGTAAACTCCTTGATCAGAGATTTTATTATTATTTTGAGAACTCTTGTATCATCTATATTTAGCACTGTACCTGACACAGAGTAGATAATAAATGTTTTCAATGACAATTTATTATTAACTGTTCAAGTTAAATATAAGGCAACGACAAATTAACTATAAAAGACATTTCATAGTTAACTGCTAATTGAACAGCATGAGCCAATTACTATCTCAGAGGGGTACCCATCAGCACCACTAGACTTATTTTCCACAGTATATGTGACCACAGTTGACCACAAGAACCAGTAGGTATCAGTTTGTTCAAACAGCTTTCAATAAAATTCCGTTTTTAAAATTATGATTAAATTATATGTAACATAAAAGTTGTCATTTTAATTTCCATGTGACTTTATTTGGCTCATTTCTTTGAAACAATGAGTATGAATCCTATGTTCATCAGGGGGAGATGAGCTCAAAGGAAGCTTTGAAAAAAGGCATTGCTGCTATATGAGAAACTGAACTGGCTTTGGAACTGAATTCAGGTCCACCACTCCCGTAGCTGTGAGGCAGAGTTAGTGAAACTTCCTTTACACATATATAAAACGAGGACAATCTGAATACTCTCTCCCTTACACCCACTCCAAACTGCTTCAAGATATTGACAGGAGACAATAAAATCTTAGAAGTTCTTCAGCTTCGGCAGTATTACAACAGTCTCTAAGTTACCAAGGCAACTACCTGAAAGACAGGTGGTGGTCTATGGACAACCTACATTCCCACTAGGTTCTCAGGAAATGCTGAGAGTGGTGTGACTGGTGAAGGAATCACTCATAGGCATCCTCTAACTCCTTCAGGGTCATTAAAAAAAACTGAAAATAGTTCACGTTTTGCAAATTCATAACTAATTAAAGCCTTTAAAGAACATTTTACAATCTGGTTTTAAAAGTCAACATATATTAAGACTCAACTTGTAGGAAAACCTCATGCTTACGACATCCCAGTGATAAATATTCCGAAAATTAACTTGTAAATAATTCCGAGACTGCTTTTTAAAACTTAAAATCCAGGTAAAACCAGGGTGCAGCAGTTTTAAAAGAACAAACACAGATAAATTTTGACGAGCAGATGACATAAAGATACGTACATGTATGGAGGCATTCTGTCACTGTTGTTGGCTTGATCAGGTATCCTTTACAGATATAGCAGGTGATGTAAGGGTTGAAGTCTTTCACCAAGTGTTTCCTTTGGGTAGCCATTCGTGGTTAGCCGGCTTTAGCAGTTCAGGCAAAGAGGGGAACTAAGTGGATGCAAAGCTGGTCCCAGTGGCTGGCACAATGTTCTCGGTAGAGGTCCTGAGGCATGAGCATGAACATCCAGCCTGAGTACAGACCACTGGTCATCACTCCCTTTGACAGTCCTGCTTTTTCATATCTGTTTCCAAAACCATAGAGAGAAGGGTGAGCAGAACATAACCTTTACTGTCCAATTAACCTATAAGTCTATTACAACTTAACTGAGTAACAAATTCACCCAGTTCCAAAGCCTCAATTATCACTGCCGCTCATGGCACGCAAAGCTACGGAGTCTACCTGGAGTAGATGATAGGTGCATTCTGCCAATGCAAGGTGCAAAGACTCAAAAGTTAAGTCATTAACCCACCTAGCAAAATGATCTCTATTTCTTTCGGCACTCTCCTTCTAGTTAATAGTCATATCAAGCTGACACCCATTTCCTCTCCTCAAAGAGATGCCTGCCGCCCTCCAGTCAGGCCAGCTTATATCTTGCTACCAGGTTTATTCTACCCATTACATTTAGTGCTTTCTCAAAAAATGTCAGGACCTCTCTTCACTAACACACACCAAAAAAAAAAAAAAAAAATGTGTTTTTTAGCCTGTCCCATGAGATAGATGTAAACCACACTCCTGGTTGATTTTGATCTTCCCTTCAAAACTTCAGGTAGGCTGACAGGATCACTCCTCTCTATCATGGATTCTGCTGGCTCGTATCTTACACGCCCTTCCTCTTAAGAGCTGTATCATGCTTGTCCCTGAGACTCCCTCTCCAATGCTGTCCTCAATGTAATCTCTACTAATGCTCACGACTCCCTTGTTACATTTTTCTTCCATTTTGATAATTCATTCATTCTTGTTTTTCCGAGGTTGAGTTTCTTATAGCCCAGGCTGGCCTAGAACCCTGATGAGATAACCTTTAATTGATCCTCCTGCCTCATTATTCACAGTGCTGGGATTACAGGTATTCGGCATTGCCAGTTGACACCATGACAGGGAACAAACTTTTGGCACTGTGCATGCTAGGTAAGCACTCTACCAACATTTATTCTTTATCTCTATTAGACAGAAAGTTTCAATAGAAACCGGTCACACATAGTAGATATATACCCTGGGAAATATACTTTCTTTAAGTCTCAAGTGGCTATTTATTTTGTTGCTTTTAACTGTAAAGTAACAGTAAGAGCTCCAAGTACCTAGAGAGGAGTTATGCAATGAGACAGTACACAGCGAAAAACTGAAGAAATGCCATTTATTTTCTTGCAACTTTATGACTAGATAGCTCATTAGGTTATTCTAAAAGTTTTGCAAGTTCCTTACAAGACAGATGTCCTTAGAAAACAATGCCAATGAAGATGCTTATTTCACTAAGTTCATTCTACACCAAGCTCATTCTTCAGACGGGAACTTTTCTCCTACCTTGGCTGTTAGTGCATAGGCGAGTATAAAATAACTGGAAAGGTCTAGAAGGCATCGTTCTGCCGGCACACACCCACCGTGAATGTTCACGGCAATAGGCTCCGAGCGTCTATCCCTTCGGGGAAATGGTGTTAAGGATGTGACAGGAGGTGTAATTTAATTAATTGCAATCTCAAGATTCCGGCCTTAGCCCTTCGTGACCTTCAGCAAAGCATTGATATCCTAACCTGGGTCTCCGCTCTTTCCTCAGCTTTTCTTTTCTCCCAGGACTCACTGGTGCGCTCGCGGCAAACCTGTGGGAAACGCAGCCCCGATCCCTGTCACCCGGACTCCGAAAGGAAGCGAGTGCTTGCGGTGTCGCGCGGGCGGCCGGGGGCAACTTTTCCGCGTCGGGAGGCGCGGGTCCCGGGGGTT